TGATTTTGTTCCAAGAACTGGGAACTACTGATCAAGTCATGCGAGAACAGGAAGTCTGTTCCGACAAATAGGAGAGTGTTGCAAGAGCGGGGGAAGTTGTTCACAGACCAGGAAATGTTGTTAAACTAACGGGGTTTGTTCCATGAAGGCTTTGGTAAGGTTGTTCCTCATCACACTTGTTTAACATTATCAGAAATTGAATAAATTTTTGTCGCGGTACCTTGGGCTCGCGGTACCTTTTTTCAATTCATTTCATGGGACGCATAAATTCTCATGGGACGCATAAAATTTTTATGGGACGCATAAATCGTCATGGGACGCATAAAATTTTTATGGGACGCATAAATCGTCATGGGACGCATAAAATTTTCATGGGACGCATAAATCGTGATGGGACGCATAGATCTCCATGGGACGCGTAAATCTCCATGGGACGCATAAACTGGACAAGAGCCAAAATTTTTATATTTATAGCTTATTAGTCTCGATAATCTTGTTAATGTTTTACTTGAAAAATTGTCTATGCAGCAGAAATGAAGTAAAAAAATTTAAGAGACGCTTTTATAAATTTTCTTTTTGTTTTTTTAATTATTGTTGAGCCTTTTTTCTTCCTACATTTCTGGAGATCTGCTTTATTTTATACCCAATATATATTGAATCGAGAGGTTAAATATTCTATTTGAATTATTTTTTTTTTATTAAATTATATTCTACAAAAAAATAATATTGTTTTAATTATACACGCTAAAAGGCTTCTTCCACAATGGTTCCATGTCGACTGTCAAGCAGAGGTGGATCGGAATTCCGACGTTTGAGCCTCCGATCTCCGGCTCTTTCTATTTCCGACCCACCTCTGCTGTCAAGTGTTGTATTCAATTTTATTTTCCATTGTGGGAAGGACACGTAACTCTAAAAATATACTCGACATGGATGTCATTGTTGTAGAGAGCCGTGTTTATGAGACTCGTTTAATTTTGTGTTATAATTTTTTATAAATTTTTTTTGGTTTAAAATGAAAAAAAAAGCAACGAATTTTTTAGCTAAATGTTCTCAAATCTTTTAATTATTTTCTAAAATTTATTCGAAATTTTTTTTAGAATTTTTTAAAAGTCATTATAGCAACAAAAAGAAAATGTTCATTTATATGCCTTGTATATTTTGGCATGATCGTAAAGGAATATTATTTATTGATGTTTTACAAAATTCAACAACAAAAACAGGAGAAGGAGAAGATTTAATTCCAATTTATAAAATTGTCACAGCAAGCATTCAAAAAGAAATTCGTGTTTGGAATTTCCGTTTTGATCCAATTGAAATTTCTGTCCCAAAAAAACAACAAATTGAGGAGTTGAAAAAAGAAGAAGAAGAAAATAAACAACCACAAAATGAAGATAGTATTGTTTTTGTGGATTCTAAAGGAGAAAAGGAAGAGGAAAAAGAAAATGCCGTGAAAGATAAGGAGGATGCTAATAAAATTTTGGTGAATGAGGAGAAGATGCAGCAACAAAATCAGCACGGTTTTTGAAAATTTTTGGGGTTTTTAATTGGGTGTTGCTAGGTTATGTAGAGGGATTGGAGTATTTTGAAAAAGTTGAAAATAAAATTTTCTGCTAATTATTTTTTTATTATTTAAATAGCTTCCAACAAATCTCTGTCATTGTCAGTTGAATTTTTGGCCAACTTGGAAGGACACAGGTCTACAACAAATGTTGTCAAATTTTCTCCTAACGGTATTTTGTTTTCTTTAATTATTAATCTCAACCAGAGACCGGACTACGAGATCTCGAACAGAAATCTCGGTTGTCGAAAATGACATTTGTTTATATTTTGGTTCCTAATCAGCCCTTCCTGTCCGTTCTCCTGTCTTCAATCATTTTTTCAGGTAATTTTATTGCCTCTGGTGATGCTGATGGTTATCTTATTGTTTGGAATTTAGTTCAATCTTGTTTGGAAGAAAATGAAAAGAATGAAATTTCTAATGAAAAACAATTAAAAGAGCTTCAATTAAATAACAATAATTTGTTGGAAGATAATAAAAATAATGAAGAAATACCTCCAAATAGAGAAAATTGGCAAAGAAGTAAAGCTAGATTTAGTCCACATCCTGGCGAAATTACTGCTTTATGTTTTTCGCCAGATTCACAATTTATTGCTTCGGTGTCTATGAATAATTCAATTTCTGTTAATCGAACTGAAAATGGTTTGGAAAAAAAATTATATTTTTTTATTTTATGGGGAAATACTTTAAGGGAGAAAGATTTATTTTATTTTATCTTACTTATGTTAACAAGGGACTCGGATTCAGTACCTTGGTACAAGGGATGTATTGGGTTCCCCTAAACCCGGACTTTTGACCCGCTTTTTTCATAACCCGACATATCCCTGTTTGGTACATTACTTGGTACATTAATTTCTCCACATTTAACGACTAAAAATCTTTGTGGTTGATCTAACACAAAAAAAAAGAAAAGAAAATTTTTTGAATTGGGTAAATTTAAATATTTTTAACAGGTAAAAGACTATGGGAAAGAGGTGCTTACCGCCATTTTGCTAATGGAATAATTTGGGATCCACGAGGAAAATATTTGGTAACAATGTCAACAGACAGACGTTTAGATATATTGGATGCGTTTAAGGGAACAATTTTACGTTCTTGTTGTCAAATTGAATTGCCAATGATTTTAATGCCTGAAATTAATCAACAAGTTTTTTTTTTCTAAATTTTTGAAAATTTTTGTTTATTAAAATTTTAAGGCCTACAAAATATTTCATGACGATCAATTACATGCTTTCCAAAGAGGTGTTGAATTTTCCCCTTGTGGTGGGGTTCTTTTTGCACCAGGTTTTTAACTGTTTTTTTCTTTTTTTTACATAAAAATTGGAGCGGGCCTGGGTGGGTAGGGTTACTCGAAGCCTTTTTCAACATGGAACCCGGTCTAAAAAATTTGAAGCTCCTATCCAAAATCCGGACTAACATTTTTCTTTATTTGTGACATTCCTGAAACAGACCTTCAAAAGTAAAAGGATTTTGTAAATTTTGGTATCGGAAACCGACTTTGACAAGAATGGACTTTCCTGCATTTTATTAATACGGATGATCGGGTTATTAAAAACAATAGATTTCTTAATTAAAAGAATTTTTTAGCCGCCCTATTAGAAGTTGGAACAAATAATATTTATGGAACTTTTGTCTTTTTTCGAAATGATCTCAAATTTTGCCGGCCAAATGCTCTTTTTCCTTCTGCCAAACCAACTATACAAGTTAAATGTTCTCCTTTAATTTACAAACTTGATGATGGAACGAAGGAGAATTTTCTTGGGTATTTTTTTAAAGATAATAGATGAACCTCTTATAAGATACACCCAATACTAGATACCAAGGACGTGTCCAGGAAGTCCATTTCATGACCCCCGACCCCACTCTGGACACGATCTTGCTAGATACGTGTCCAGGGAGTCCATGTATTCCAGGGAGTCCATGAGCTGGTTTACTGGGTTTTTTTCACCTCTATTTAGGTTTCGTTTTTTCAAATTTAGTTGACCACCGAACGAGGCCGAAAACCCTCTATTTAAGATATACCTTGTTATAAGCTACATTTTTCCATCCCCAGTAGGTATATCTCCAGGTCCGGCTATTATACAATTTTTCAAGTTTTTCTTTCTTTTAAGTCTTCCACATCGTTTAATTTTTGCTGTTTTATGTTGGGATTCAATTTTATTATATAATTCACAAAATGAAACTCCATTCGCTTATTTTGCAAATTTACACTATGATGGATTAACAAGTATTGCGTGGACTCCCGATGGACGTTTTTTGGTTGTTTCTTCATTAGAAGGATTTAATTCTTTTATTTGTATGGATACAAAAAAGATGGGCATTCCTATTGAATTAAAGGAGGTTCTACAAGTTGAAAAAGTGCAACAAGGTTTTTTTAATTTTTAATAAGTTTTTGTGTCCCATAAAAAAGGTTTGGGGTTTTCAAAGGGTGTTTAGGTTCCTCAACTTTTTTTGGTTTTGAGATTTATGACTAGTTTTTGGAACCATCCGTTGGCTTACATTTTTATTTTGAGCTGGCTTGACGGGTTTTTTAATTTTTATGTAAAAATGATTACGGCTAACCAAAATGCATATTAGCAAACTTTTAGCGGATGGTTTTAACAATTGGTTATGGATATTAAGATACAAATAATTTTTGTATTTTTATATAATTTTTGGTAGTAAGTCAATACTTTCCTGTCTTGACCCGGTTGTACTCCACCACTCGGGGTGTGCCTCCTTTTTTAAAAATATTTTTCTGTTTTCAGATGATGACAAAGCCAACCAATTACCTTCTGATAACCTCCCTTCAACAACAAACACACCAAAACAAACACCAATTGATGTTTTATCTCTTCCAGATTCACCCAAATTGATAACTCCAAAACGACCACGTGTAAAAAGGACGTTATTAAACAATACACCACAAACACCTAAAAGGGCAAAACCTGAAGAAAATTGTTCTAGTTCTACTGTTGGAGAATCACCTAAAGTTGGTGTTGTTGAGAAGAAGAAACCAAGGAAAGTAACGGTTATTTCAACTGATTAATAAATTCTGAAAAAGGTTATTTTTTTGCCTATTTTTTAAAAATTACAGTCAAACTTCGTTTTTAAATACTCCCAAAAGAATTTTTTAAACCCCAATTTAAATACTCTTGCTAAAATTCTGGTTGGCCATTGGGTGGGGAAATTACTTTAAAATTTTATCTCCAATTTAGAATACCCCTTATTATAAGATAAAAAATTTTCCAGCCCTGAGGGGGTATTTAAAAGTGATTTTTGAGTTATTAATTTAACAAAATTTTTGCAAACAAATCGTTTCTTTTTGTATGAAATAATTTTTTTATTTATTATTTATTTAATAAATTATGGCAATCTAAAAAAGAAACCGGTAATTAAAAATTAAGAGAAGGAATGTTTGGTTAATAATCACACTTTTCTTTTTATTCGTTTGGAAATTTTTTTACGAATTTGAATGAATTTTATCTGGAAGCGGACCCAATTTTGCCAAGTTTTGCAAGGCCTTATCTAGCCACTAAAATTAGGAAAATTTTTAAAAAATTAAAAAAAAATTTTTACAATAAGAGGAGCATGTAAATGAATTTCTATCCAACACGGGGTTGATGTAATACTGTTAAAAATAAAATGAATTAATAATTCTGATTTTTGTATTTTCTATTTTTTGTGTTTTCCGAAGTTCTGATATTTTTATATTTTCTTTAAAAAATATAAAATTCTGATTTTTTTTGTGTTTTCTGGAATAATAAATCTAACTGTAGCTTTGCAAGGTAATTTTAGAAAATCAGAAGTATCTCAAATTTTTGGGAGAATGAAAATTCTGATTTGTATTTAAAAAATAATTCTGATTTTCTTTTGTATTTTTTCTAAAATTCTGAATCAGAATTTTAGAGAAAACACAAAAATCAGAATTTTAGAGAAAACACAAAAATCAGAATTTTAAAGAAAATACAAAAATCAGAATTTTAAAGAAAATACAAAAATCAGAATTTTGGAGAAAACACAAAAATCAGAATTATGTCTTAAAGAATTCTGATTTCTGTGTATTTTCTCTAAAATTCTGATTTTTGTATTTTCTTTAAAATAATTCTGAAATTAAAAATTAAATTGCTCACTCTTGCCGTTGATAATCTTTTCCCCATCCCTTAACAAAAGACATTCTAATAATAGTCATTTTAGTAAGTTCATAGCTGCTATCAAATCCCATTTGTGCACAATGATTTAATAGCTAAAATTAAATTAATTATATTTTTAATTTAAATTAATTAAAATCTAAACCTCTCCAAATTTAGCTGTATCAAATATTTTAAGAGAATATCCATGACAGAGTTTGCCTATAGAAAATTAAATTTTAATTAAAAAATAAATTTTTTAATGTAAAATATAGACTTACAAACAGTGGTAGGGTGAAAATTGTTTATCCTTAAAAAAAATTTTTTTCTAGTTAAAAAAATATTAAATAAAAAATTTATTTTGGAAATTCTAGAAAAACCCATTCTTTTAAACCAGCACTTTTAATGCTCTCAAAATGCAAGTTCTGTCCGCATCAGAGCTGTGTCAAAATTTCGATTCTTCCAATTTTCGAATTTTGAAGATATTTTTATTTCGACGCAGCTCTGGTCCGCATGCACATTTTATGGGGATATCTCAAATTGTATCAAGATTATGTATTATTTTCTTCCCCATTAATTTTTTCCCTAATTTCCCTAATTAACCTTTATTCGGGTAGAATTTGTCGACTTTATGAGGGAATAAAAATTAATTTCTCTGCCTTTAAAAATTCCTCTCCTTAAATTTTTTTTAAAACTTTTCCTTAAAATCCCCCCTCTCTATTAAAAGAATTTTTAATTTACAAAGACCAACCAATTACTATTCCTCGATTGAATAAAAATAGGGCTATCACTTAAACACTCAGCATAAAGTGTTCCTTAAATATTTAATTAATTTCAAAAAAAATTTTTCTTAAAGGAAAACCTTGATAGGGCACATAAGTTAATTTAACTCCTTTAGCTATTAATCTTCGAGTATTTTCAATTGTCAAATTTCTATTTACATTAGAAAACAATCCCAACGATATTTTGTGTTGTCCATTAGATTCGCCCATGGTAGGGTCTGTGAAGCCGTCAACAATACATTCTAGAGCACTTATTTTTACCTTTAAAATAATTTATTTAAATTTTTATAAATGTTTTGATTAATGAAAAATTTTGAAATTTTTTATTTAAAAAATTCCAAAAATTTTTCAAAAAAAAATTTCAAAACATAAAAATTTTTAGTCAATAACAAATATTTTATTCTTTAAAAATCCTTAAAATTATTTTAAATTTAAAAAAATAAAAATTAATTTATTTTGGTGGAGTCGAACTCTATTCAAGAAAATTAATTTCTAATTCCCTGATGAAATTTATGTATAAGGCGTAATTAATGTTTGAACACAAATCTGAGGAGGATGTTCGATACCCACACCGGAATTTTTTATTTTGCCAAAAAAATTATATTTTTTAGAGTTTTGAAATTAAGAAAATTTTTGACCCTTTTAATTTAAAAATAATTCAAAAAACCAAACCTGTTCTCCAACTCTCCCATTCAATTCATAATAACTAATTGTGCACCAATCCTGACACGGAACAAAAGGAATTGTTGCCACTTCTTTGAAATTGTTGTTTGGATTGTTTAGAGGCGGTGGATCACTAAAACGGGGAACCAAAACTGGGGGGAGCATATTTGAAGTAGAAATTCTTTCATAATGGTAGGGATTTATACAAATATCTTTTTGGCCTGATTCAAAACAATAACGGCAACATTGCAAGGCTTTTAGCTTAAAAATAAAAGATAAATTGATGGAAAGACGAAACAGACGGAGGGAAACACTTAATAAAAATGATAGGTACTTTGGTTGGTCCCCTACCCCTATTCTCTGAAAATATTCTCCCTGGCGAGTCAACAACCAACACCAGCCAATCCTATTTTCCTTTTCTCAGGAACAACGAAGAATATTTCATTTCTAATCCTTTATTTAACGATGTATATATATGTAGAGTGACATTGAGGAGGTCTGACCATTATGAGTCTTTTGAAGAAAAAAGTGAGGGAACAAAACTCGGAATTAACAGATTAATTTATTTGCGGACAACCTTTGCGGATTTTTCCTTTTCTTACCTAAAAATGTCCTATAAAAATAAAAAAAAAACCTCATGATGTGATTGTAAATCTGGCCATCTATAAACTCTACAATAAATAACATGTGGCAAAGCTTTTCTATGAGAAATTTGTAAACGTCCATCCAGCGATCTAGGAATTGTCACACACTCAGTTAGCTCTCTTCCTTGCAAATTTAACGATTTTTCCAATAAACTAATCGATTCTTTGTTTTGTTTTTGTAATTTTTTCATTAAACTTTGAATTGCTTTTTTGGACCAACCATCGTCTTCGTCACCTAAAAATTTTTTAAAATTTTTTTTGGAAATTTTTTGAAAAATTTTTGTAAATTTTTGAGACCTTGTTTCCACCCCAACCGCTTCATCAAACCATGCCCAAAGCCTTCCAAATTCATTAGAAAAAAATTTTGATTGATAGAATTTAAAAAATTTTCAAAAAAATTGTTGGCGCTGAAAGGTCCAAAAATTGAATTCTTTAAAATACGTTTTGTAGTAAAAGGAAACCTATTTAATAATGTCTACTATATTTTCTATAAATGAAAATTATTTTCTTTAAAGTAGCCACCGGGGCCTATTTTTGATCGACCTCGAGAGGGGCTATTTTAAAGAAAATAAATTATTTGTATTAAAATTCTATTTTTTAAATTAGGTAGGCCATTTTTAGATTTAATTTATTCTCTCTATTAGATGAATGTCATTCTATATTTCAACCCCCTAAAAATTTTTTTGAAGCAATGTCAATTTCAAAGGTTAAAGAGAACACGGTATTATGAGGAAAATAATAAGATATATATTTTTGAAAGAAAAAATGTTGAGAGAATCACGTGATTTTCAAGCTTTTTAGACATTAATTAACGGTAATTTTTGCCTTAATTAAGGGTACTGGAAATGCTCTAAAAATACTTTACACCTACATTTTTCTTTTAATTTTTTTTCTAAAACTTCGATTTTTCATTAAATAAGAAATTCCTTTTGCCTTTTTCCCCCAAAAAAAATTTTTTTTATTTAATTTATTGTTCTTATTTTTTTCTTTTTAGTCGCTAAATTCTTGTAAATTTAGCAATTTTTAAATATTTTTGGTGAATTTTTTTACTTCCTCTAAATAATTTTTTATTTTTTAATCATTTATTGTTTAATATTTAAAAAGAACAAATACAAACGTATTTTCCTCTTCATTTTAACAATTTATTTAAAGTTACAAAAATACAAATAAAATACCAAAAGTCTGAATTGTATTTTTTGTATTTTTGTGTTAAGACTTAAATTCTGATAAATTTGTTAGAAAAAATCAGAATTTAATTTTTGTATTTTCTTCTATTTTATTAAAAATACAAATTTCTGATTTATTAAAAGGTCAGAATTCTAATTTGTGTTTTTAGTGTTTTAATGAAATACAAAAATTCTGATTTTTTTTATAAAAGAAAACACAAACAGAAATTATTTAAAAATACAAGATAATAAATTATTCTGAAAAATAAACAAAAATACATTTATTCTGATTTGTATTTTCTATTTATTCTGGTTTTGTATTTATTTATTCTGGTTTGTATTTTACAAGAAAACACAAATAAAAATTATTCTGAAAAAATACTTTGATAAAACATAAGAATACATTTATTCTGGTTTTGTATATCTGGTTTTGTATTTACTTATAAAACCAGAATATTTGTGTTTTTGTGTTTTTTGTGTTTTCTTTACAAATTTAATTTTGTGTTTTCTCTACAAAAACAGAATAATTTTTATTCTTGTATTTTTAAACCTTTTCAGAATTTTTAAATAATTTTTGTGTTTTCTTTTTTCAATTCCACTGGGATACAAAAGTGTTTCTTTTTCAGTCTTAAATTCAGTTTCTTCTTTCTCCTCCTAAACTCTCGAAAATTAACTTAAAATTTTAAGTCTGCCTTTCTTTTATATTTTTTCTGTTTAAAAATTGATTGTGAAAAAAGGATTATTTTTTAAAAAAAAGTTTGACGAGAGAAAAGAAAAATAAATAAAATAAAATATCCACTAAACAATTGATTTTCACTTCAAAAAAGCTTTTTGTTAGTTCTTTAATTCTTTTTTATATTTAATCAATCACTTAACACGTTCACAAATATTTTAAAAAATTTTTAAAATAAAAATGCTGACATATGGAGATTATTTATTAAATAAAACTTTAATTTATCGCTTGATTTTTTTAAATAATTAAAAAAATTTTTTGTCACCAAAAATATTTTGGGATAAATTCCAGATTTATTTTAGAATTTTCTTTAAATATTAAACCCAGAAAAAGCAACAGAAAGGAAAATAATCATCAACACATGTCAAAATATTTTAGTTTTTTCCTCTCTTTTATTTTATTAAAATACCAAAATTCTGATTTTTATTTTGTATTTTGTTAAAGATTAAATTCTGTTAATAAAAATTGGTAGAAAATACAAATCAGAATCTATTTTGTATTTTCTTCTGTCTTTTTAAAAACACAGAATTCTGATTTTTTAAATTAATATATTGAAACACCAGAATTATTTTGTGTTTTTAATGTTTTAACAAAATAACAGAATTTTGATTTGTATTATTTTGTATTTTTCAAGTAAAATTTAAATTCTGATAAATAAAAATACAAATCAGAATGAAAATACTAATTTAAATGAAAATACAAATCAGAATTTAATTTGTATTTTCCCTATTTTAGTAAAACACTAAATTCTGATTTTTTATTAATTTATTAAATGACCAGAATTTTTGTATTTCTTTAATAAAAAGACATTGTGTTTTTGTTTTAATAGAAATACAAGAATTCTGATTTGTATTTTATCTCTAATTTAGAAAATTAATTTTAGTTGCCTAAATTCTGATTTTAGTATTTCTTTTAATTTATTCGTAATTTTATTTTAATTTTAGTTGATTTAATTCTGATTTGTATTTCTACCATTTTATAATAATTCTGATTTTTAATTTAAAAAACACCAGAAAACACCAAAACAAAATGAAATGGAATTATTAAAAATTCTGCTGCTGCTTTCCCTAACTTTATTAATAGTTGTCGTCACATTATTTTTGCTAGCACTTTTTTGTTACTTTCCACCTTCTTGTTCATTTTTATTGCCTATGGGATTGCGGAGAAAATGTAAAAACACTGTTGGCCAGGGAAATTCAGAACAAGTGGAGGTTTCTAGATCTGATGGATCTAATGGATTTTATGGTTAGAAAAGTCTTTTTGAAAAAAAATTTTTTTTTAGAAATTTCTCTTAAAGGAAATCTCCCAGACAGAAGAAATACAACCGAAGGGCAAAAACAACCGCCTGCTTCTGCTTCTGACGTTCCAGAAATTGTATTAACTACTGCCTCTATGAAAATGAGGAGACTTTGAAAATGATAAATTTTAAATCTTTTTTTATTTTGAAACTCTAATGTACATATTAAAATTTTATTTAATTTTCGAAAAAAATTTTTTTATCAGAAATGAAGTCCAAACATTTAATGTGTAGTTAAATTTGGCAAAAATAATTTAAAAGAAATAAGCAATAAAAGAATCAAAATAAGAACGATCCCCCCAAGTAATAAAACAATTGCACATTTAAGACGGTTTGACGATTTTTTATAGGTTACAGCTTTGTTCATTTGTTTTCGAGCTTGATTTGTATACTCCAATGCTGACTGTACATTTTTGTCCACTCTATCAACTATTGTACCCTTAAAAATTAAATAAAATAACAAATTGTAAAAAATAAATTTTAATTGTAAAACTTCTACAAAATAAACTTTATTTTTTACAAATTAAGGTTTAATTTACAATTTACAAATTAATTAAAGTTTGTTGTTTACAATTTTTACAATTCAAGTTTATTCTTTTACAATTTAAAGTTTATTTTTTACAATTAAACTTTAATTTATAACTTAGAAAAATAAACTTGAATTGTAAAAATTTTACAAATTAAAGTTGAATTGTAAAAAATAAAGTTTAAATTTGAAACTTCAAAACAAAGTTTAATTAATTTACAATTTGTAGATTAAATTGTAAACTTGAAACTAAGTTTGTTTTATACTTAAAATTAAGTTTGTGAAATAAGTTTGCATAAATTGTAAGAAACATTAAACTTGTTTAAAACTTACTTGCGAGTGTACCAAAGCCAACATATCACCAAAACAATCGTTTAATTCTCCAATACTCTTTTCTAATTTTACCAATTCATTATGTCTATCAGATGCTTCTTCTAAAGCTAAATGAGCAGCCACATTCATTGGATTAATATTTCGATAAAAAATTTGTTCAGATTTTTCCTCTAATAAGTGTTCTACATCCTCATGGTTTAACGGCTCTCCAGCAAGTTCTAATTGTCTTTTAACTCTTTCTTTAAAATTAAGACTTTTTTCAAAGATTTTTAAAATTCTCCCCTTACTAGTTACTCGTTGTCGGTAATCTTCTCTCGATTTTTGAAAAGTTTCGAGTATTTGACAAAGCCTTCGTTTAAGCTGTTCGACTTGATTTAAATTAATTCTTTGTGTAGCATTACTAGTCAAATTTAAACTTTTTTCTTGTTGTTGTTCAAATTCAAGTTTTTGCAAATTTGTTCTCAATTCTCCTACAAGTTTGCGAAATTGATTAATAATAAAATCTAATTGTTGTTTGTCTTGCGGTTCTGCAATTGTTCGGCAAAGTATAGTTTGTTGAACTTGAAGCATTTGTTTAATAAGATGATCAATTTCATCTAAGCATGAGTTCATTTGGGCAATTTGTTGAAGAAAGTAATCATTGTTGCCGAGTTGTAAATTGTTTGTCAAACCGGAAACAGATAATTCAGTCGGTGAACGAAGTGAAGGGCGTGCCTTTAATTATTTAAAATATTACATTAATAAAAACAAATTAAGTTTGTAAAGCAAGTTTTACTTAAAAACAAGTTTTGTAAAAAATAATAAATGAAATTGTAAAACTTAAAATTAAGTTTGTTTTAATTAAAAATAAGTTTGTAAAACATGTTTAATTAAAATTAAGTTTGTAAAATAAGTTTGCATTAATTCAGGTTTTAGTAAACAAAACTAAACTTGTAAAACATGTTTACCTAAAATTAGGTTTGAAAACAGATTAAAATCAAGTTTGTAATTTCAATTAAGTTGTAAAAAACAAGTTTTAGAAATCAAGTTTGTAAAACAAGTTTTAGTAAAATGTTTTATACAACTTGCCAAACAAAACAAACTTAATTTTTTAAAGTTTTAATCATGAAATAAAAATATTAAGTTTGTAAAACATGTTTACAAACATATTTTCAAGTTTGAAAAAGATAAACAAAATAATTACAACCTTGTGCAACTCTTGTAGTCTATCCTTAACCATTTTTCAATTTAAATGTTTTTGGATATTAAAATAAAATTTTTTTATTTATTTAAAGCCTAAAAAATTTTTGTTTTTGTTCAAAAATACAAATGAGAATGCTTTTACAACTTAATCGGAAAAAATTGGGGCAGATGAATCATTTTAGAGAAAGGAAAAAATTATTGAATATTTTGAGTCAGATGGTTGACAAAGAAATTTAAAATAATAGAGAAAACATTGTGAATGAGAATATGTTTACCTCTTCATGTTTCCTTTTTACCCTGCGTGTATATTTTATTTTTTACGAAGAGAGTGGGAATGTAAAGGTAGCGCGGCTGGCAATAAATAAAATATTTTTTCAAAGAATTTTTATGTGAATTTGAAAAAAAATATTTTTTTTAATTTAATGAATAACTGTGAAAAATAATAAAAAAATTTTCTATAATTTCTAAAATAAAATTAAATGATATTTAGTTTTTTATTCTTAACCATGTTTTCAAAAAACGGTACTTGTGTAGTTTACACCCCATTAGCCCCGCCCCTTTGTCCTTTTTTCCTCTTCTTTATAAAAATGTTTATTAAAATATTGACCCAAACGGTCATTTTATAGGAGATAAAGCGAAAGAAAAGGCTAAAAGTAAAAGAGGCGGGGCTTATGGGGTGTAAACTACACAAGTACTAAAAAAGTTCTATTTAAAATCTACAAATTGTAAAATCTAAATTTGTCTTCATGCTTGTTCCTAAGTTTCAACTATTTAAATCACTCTTTTCTCTTGTTGTGTCTATTCCACTTTCTTTTTGTTCCAAATCTTGTTTAATTGGAGCAAATTGTTGTTGTTGAGAAAAATAATTGTTATAATTGTTTGGATAATAAGAAGCTAAATGACTAAACATTTGATTTGTAGTTGTGTTATTGTGATTACTGTATGTTGGTATTTGTGTTAATTGAAGAGGAGGATAGTTGGAAGAAGATGAAGGGGATGAAGAAGAAGACCAAAAATCTTTAAAAAAATTTTTAATTTCTAAAAATTAATTTGTAAAAATTTATTTACACAAGTATGAAGGCTAAAAGAGTTTTAATAGAAGAAAATAAGTTTGTAAAACATGTTTCAAGTTTGTAAAAATTGGTTTGTTGTAAAAATGTTTTATTAAAAAATAAGTTTGTAAAACAAGTTTTATTAAAACAAGTTCTGAACAAGTTTTGTTTAAAAAATTCTAAAACAAGTTTTATGTTCGTATGCATGTTTTATCAAAAAACAAGTTTTAAATGTTTTATTTAAAACAAGTTTGTAAAACATGGTTTGTTAAAAAACAAGTTCTGAAACAAGTTTTATTAAAACAAGTTTCATTAAAACATGTTCTAAGTTTGTAAAACATTTTTTATGAAATAAACAAGTTTTCAAACATGTTTTAGTAAAAACATGTTTCGAAACAAGTTCTATGTTTGTACGAATATTTCTCAACAAACAAGTTTGTAAAACAAGTTGTAAAACAAGTTTAACTCAAAATTAAGTTTGTAAAACATACTAACCATTACTAGCACAAAAATTACTAGTTTGAGGCTGAAAATAATTATATGCAGCCATCTGCATAAGAGCATAATAATCTGTATTACTATTGGAATTATTGTTTAAATAATTATTATTAATTAAATAATTATTATTCCATTGTTGATTTAAATAAAAATTTGTATTATTTTCTAATTTTGGTAAAAGATTATTTTGTTGATATGTTGGGGTAGTTGTTGTTGTTGTTTGTTGTTTAATTTGTTTTGTTTGACAAACAAGTTTGTTTGGTTGACTTTGTAAACTTGTTGTTTCTTTCAAAACTTTATTAATTAATTCGTTTTGCTCAACAACTTGGTTTGTAAAACATTTTTTATTTTTAATTTCCCCAATGTTGCTCTTAAATGTTTTTGGCTCTTCTTCTTCTGTAGCGTCCGTAGACTCTTCTCTTTTAATAAAACTTGTTGAAGCTCCGTTATTATTTATATTTGCCGTCCTTTTTCTGTAAATTTCAGCTTCGTTTCTCATTTTCTCAAATTTACGTTCATTTTGCATCTAAAAATTTTTGCGATTTTTTTATTTTAAGGAGATATTATTTTTTAACCTTTGCACGTCTGTTTTTGAACCAAACCTTAAAATAAAACATTGTTTTTAATCAACTTAACGTTGGTTTAGTGCTTATAAAATTGTCAAAAGATGAAAAATATTTCTTAAATTTTGCTTAGTTATGTAAAACTTCTCCAAAAATTTCAGAATTTTTGGTCCAGTATCTCAGAAATTATAGTTAAATAAATCAAATAAAGGGAAACATTCATTTTTGTCATAACCTTTAGAATAAATGACCAAAAATTTTAATATTTTTAGTAAATTTAGTTAATACTATCATTTATGGCTCGACGAAATTTCACGTTTCTAGGTACTCTTATCTCTTATGTACAGACAATCGCTTAGGCGACACCCTTATTTTAACTCAAACAAGTTTTAATTGTTTTGTTTATTATCGCAAACTTCAAAACAAGCTTTGTAATTCCAAAAACTTGTTTTACAATTTCCTCTTTGCTTAAAACTTTTTTACAATTGCAACTATATTTAGATAAACTTCCCAGCTTAATTTATTTTTACCTGTATTTTAACGTCAGTAAGATTCAATATTCTAGCAATATCTTCCTTTTTAGCTCCATCCGGATATCTATTATTTTTAAAAATATTTTCCAAATAATTTAATTGAGAATCTGTATATTTTGTTCTTTCCCTTTTTGTTGTTTGTTGTTGTTGCCCACAAAAAGTAATTAATTCTGTTTTTGGGGTTGTTAATGTTTTTGTTGTAGAAAATGCTGAATTAATTAATGATGTTGTTGGAGAAAAATAATTTTGATAATTATTGTAAAATTGTAATGAATTTGTATTTGCTATTGTATTTAATGGATAATTGTTTGTAATGTTTTTGTCATTAAAAGTGTTTACAGGAGTAGAAAATAGTGGGGTTATGTTAAGCTGGGAACTTGAAAATATTTTTTAATTATTTTATTTTAATAGAGGGTTGCAAAACATGTTTTTCAGACAAACTTATTTTTAAGATTGCGAAACTTTTCTAAGTACAGCAATTCAAACAAGTTGGAATGTTTTTATCAACTTTTACAAACTTTAAAATAAATTTAAAACTTCTTAAAAACATGTTTTTAGACATTAAAACTTATTTTTAAGTTTGCGAAAAGTAAACAAAAACATTCACAACTTTTCTAAGTTCAAACAAGTTGGAATTGTTTTTGTCTACTTTTACAAACTTAAAAACAAGTTGGAATTTCTTAAAAACATGTTTTACAACTTTTTCTACGTTTAAACTAAACTTGTTTTAAATTGTCAAATTTGTAAAACATGTTTTTAGAAACTTATGTTCTTACAAACATGTTTTTGTTTTTATTAAATATTGTTTTTTTTGCAAACTTAAAAACAAGTTTGTAATTTCTAAAAACATGTTTTACAATTTTGTTTTTGTTTAAAACATTTTTATAAACTTGTTTTGGTTTCTATTAAATATTGGTAAACTTGATACCTTGCGACGGCCGGATTATTGTTAATTGCTCCAAAATTAACAGCCGCATTGATCATTCCCTCAAATTTATCTTTTGATTTTTCCTCTTCTTTTAAATAATTTTTATGATTATTTATATCAAAAATGGAATTGGCCAAAGTAAAATTATTTGAATTATACATTTATTTATTTAATTAATTGGCACAACAAAAAAATACTGAAAAATAATACTGTGTTTTAATTAATTCAGTGAAGTAGAAAAATAAAAAAAAATAAATAGAAAAAGAAATGCGCGAGATATTTTTAATGAGAAAATTAGGGGAGACGGTTATGTGAACACACTTCAGTTAAAAATTCATAACTTAGGATTGGATTAATATTTTTTAATAATTTTTGTATCATTCGATAGAGAATTAAATTCTCTACAAAATAGTAAAAAATCAAAATTTTATTCAATTTTTGACTAAAGTTATGGTCAAAAAACTAACTGCTTTTGGAGAAAATCGTCGATTTTTAAGAGTTTGGACCTCAACTTTTATTTAAAAATATCATTATGAGTTTGGGAATTTATTTAAATACCCATTAAATGACCAAAAAACAAATGAATGAAGAAAATAAGGATTAGAATTCAAATGTTAGTGCATTAAAATTGCCTGTTCTAACTTCCTTTAAATAAAAAATGAATATTGCCGTTATGAGGGTTAGGGTCATTCAGGGAATATAAGAAAATACATACGATAATTGTGATCAACATATTTTACCCCTATTCATAACATTAGGGGAAGATTGCTAAATAAAATTAATTATCATTTGAATATTCACTTCTAATTGGCTAATTTTAAGAAATAATTAAAGCTAAACAGAAAAAAATATTTTTTTTATTTATTTCTACTCATTATTTAATACAAATATTAATTTATTTTTTATAATATCAATACAAAAAATCAAGCTAAATTTTCTTTATTAGCGACTGAATATATAAAATATTGGTATTGAAATTTATAAGGGTATCTTTAGGATTACAATAATTAAAACTTGTTTTACAATTAAAAATAAACTTGGATTTACAAATTAGCATTTGATAAACATTTTTAAGATTACAATTAGGTATTAAAAATAATAAACTTGTTTTACAACTATTTAAATTAAATAAACTTGAACAAACTTATAAAATACATATATTTTAAAAGTGAAATAAACTTGAGCATTTTACAATTACAATTATCACATTTAAATTAAATAAACTTGAAGCAGTATTAAATAATTGTAATATAAAAGGGTACTAAACTTGTTTTACAATTACAATTATGAAGAATAATAAACTTGTCCTACAACAAGTTTATTTAGTTTCAAGTTTTTTACTTTAAATAAACTTGAATTTTTTTACAATTTACAATTATGAATTATAACAAACTTGTTTTACAATTGAATTAAAATAAACTTGTTTTAAAACAGTCTTATTTAAATTCATTGTAAAACAAGTTTGTTATAATTCATACTTGTAAATTGTAAAAATTTCAAGTTTATTTAAAGTAAAAAAAACTTGAAACTAAATAAACTGAAGAGAACTTGAAGCTGTTTAAAATGAATCCAATATAAATTATTAACAATTGCTTCACAAAAATAAAATTTAATAATTATTGATATAAAATAATTAAACAATAAAAACATATCTTTTTTATAAATTTTATAGTAAAGTAAAATACTGGTACTAAATTTTAACGGCCCGATAAGCGGATTGTATGCGCGGAAAAAATTATTGTTGTGTGGCTATGGAGGGATGAGAGAGAGAAAAAAATAAATTTTATTTTTTAAATTAGGTATAGTTTATAAAAAATAAATTTAAAAATTTTTCTAGACATTTCTAGACACTTCAAATTATTTTTAAAAATTAATTTCTAATTAATTAGTACCCTTTAGGGGTAACAGGAAATACATAAATATAAAAATTATTTAAAAACAAAAAATAGGCTCCACCCACACAATATCCATCCAATAGATTTACTGTAACTAAATATTTCCTTCTGTTCACACAATTTTCCCTTCCCTCAGGCTATTCTTAAAGGATCTTCAAAAATGTAAATGATCCCTTTTTATTTTTTTATTTCCCCTCTAGACTTTTCCGTTCACTCTTATTGTTTTTTCGCGCAACAAACTTTTTACCCTGCTGCGTTTTCAAAGCCTTTAGGTATTTTCCCATAAGTTTTAATATGCCATTGAAAATATTGAGTGAGAAAATAAAGTAAATCACTGCCTTAAGTTTCAAGTTTTGCTTCAAGTTTATTTAATTTTAAGTGGAAGCAAGCTTATTTTTTAATTTGAAGTTTATTTAGTTTAAATAAACTTGTTTTACAATTAAATTAAAAAATAATAAACAAAAAATGAAAAATAAACTTGGATTTTTTACAATTACAATTACTTATAAACTTGTTTTACAACAAGGTATTTACATATGTTGTAAAACAAGTTTATAAAAAACAAGTTTATAGGTAATTGTAATTGTAAAAACATTCAAGTTTATTTTCAAGTTTATTTAATAATACAATTGTAAAACAAGTTTGTTTGTAAAACAAGTTTATTTTATCTCATAATTGTAAATTGTAAAAATATTTTTGTAAACTTATTTTTAAACCTTATACCTATTTTTACAATTTAACCAAGTTTAAAAATTATACCTATATTTGTAATTTTTTGACAGTAATTTAAATAAATTGTTCCTCCCAATGTTAAATTGTGCATGAAAGTTTAGTCGGTAAAATCAAACAAAAAAGGTTATTTAAATATATGCCTTTTGGCCTTTCCTAAAGCTGAGAGGATTATCTCTCTTTTTCATTTTTGCTTTGATTTGTGTTTGACTTTTAATAATTGGCACATTCCTCAAGAAATGACATTTTCTACTCATTAAAAATTGTTAAATTATTTTTAAAAAATTATTAAAATATCCAACTCTCAATTACTTGTTTTTAAAACAAGTAACGACCAAAATTGTTCTAAAAAATAATAATTTTAACAAATAACAAAATAAATATATAATAGTTGGAACGGAAATTATGAGATGATCTCCCCCTCTCCCTATGCCTTTTCAGAAAAAAAATTAAAAAGAAATTTGACTATTTGGCACTTGGCAGGACAGGTGCATCACTGGAATATATGGATGAATAAAAAGCGTGTGCTACGGATAAAGAAAATATACGGTAATTTCTTTAGGAAGAAGAAATAAGGCTTAAAAATAGGACTCAAACAGCAAGTTTACAATTTGTAAAGTTATTTTACAAATAAGCATGTTTTTACAATTAAGTGATAATTAAACTTGACTGGCAATCTTTATTTGTTAAGATTGTAAAACATTAAAGTTCCAACTTATTCCAACTTTTTTATTTGTAATTTTACAATTTATCCAAGTTTATTTACAATTCAAACAACAATTACAAAACTTGCCAAACAACAAACTTAAATAAAACTTTTTTACAATTGCAAAACATGTTTATATATACTTTCGAACTTTTTTTCCAACCTTTTTGATTTTACAATTTTACAATTTATTCAAGTTTATTTTCCACAACACAAACAACAAACTTAATAAATAAAACTTGTTTATTAAACTTTATTTTTTACAATTGTAAAACATTTAATTTCCAACCTTCTTTTCAACTTTTTTCCAACCTTTCTGCTTTATAAATACCTATTTTTAAACGTTTTATCACGGTTTATTTCAAGTGTTTTTCTCTCCTATTTTAGTCCTCGATTATGTTCTGTTAAAAATCAAAGCAAATTCAAAAAATTCTTTTGATGTATTTTCAACACTTTATACCCTCTTTCAAACATTTTTCTCCTTTTTTTTGCCCTTAAAAATGCCGACACTAAAGTGTTGAAGTATTTATAACAAACACAGACACTCGGTCCCAGCGGGTGAAGAGGCGCTTGAGGTAGGAAGAGGAGGGATAGCGGTCTACAAAAAAAGAAGAATCACACCTTTCTCTTTTGTATATATCATTTTAAAATATTTTTTTAATATTCTCTCCATGCAAATCATTCATCTGCTACTAAATTATTCAACAAATATTATACTATAGGGGGGGGGGCAGGAGTGAGCCGTTTCGTCTTTCGCCTTTCGACATATTTTCGTCTTTTTTTGGTGTTTCGTCTTGCGCCTTTCGTCTTTCGCCTTTTAAAATCTGTTTCGGCACATCCCTGGTGGAGGGGAAGGGGAGGGGCGGGGGATCATTGAGTCCCGCCGATTGAGTCCCGCCGATTGAGTCCCGCCGTTTGAGTCCCGCCGGTTGAGTCCCGCCGGTTGAGTCCCGAGCCGTTTGAGTCCCAGCCGATTGAGTCCCGCCGGTTGAGTCCCCACCCAAATGGGGACGTTTGAGTCCCCGCAGTTATTTTCAGATTTTTCATTATTTTGTTCATTTTATTTAGGTTTTCCCTGGTTTTTTTCAACTAATTTTGTTAATTAGTTGACCGATAACCTCCACAATTCCATCTGAGTACTAAACTTTCTTAAGGAGGACGAAAATCTTGAGATAGAAAAATGGCCACAACGATGCGAAACATAAGGTTTGATGCGAAACATAAGGTTGCGAAACACAACGATGCGAAACATAAGGTTTTTTTCCATGGCCACAACGATGCGAAACATAAGGTTTGGAGTTTTTATTTTGTTTTTTAAGTTTTATTTTTTTTTAATTTTTTAGTTAATTTCCGTCAGTTTCCGACTGGCGATTTCACGTTCGCAGTTTCTGAAGAAACGAAGGTGGTGAAATTAGAAGAACATCGACAACAAAAACGAACCCAAACGGCCCTTCTTAGGGCCGCAAATTTAATAAGTGAAGCGAGACAAGACAATGGTTTTTTAAATTTTTTTTGATAAAATTTTTTATAAATTTTGTTTATTTTTTACATTTGATTTTTTCCTTTATTAGGGTAAATTCTGCCTGTCGGGTATTAGCTAATAGTTTTTACTGGAGTAATTTAAATAGGTAGTCCCCTCTAGCCTTCGTAGCAGTACAAAAAGTTTTTCCAGCGAAGATTCTGTTGGTCATAACTTTGTTCAGAATCATTCAATCAAGCTGATTTTGGTGTCAGACAACTCAACTCGTCGATCCCTTTCGAATGAGCTATCATTTGTATATTAAAAATTTTTTACCCAAAATTGAATTTGACCCCTTTTTGCTTTTCAGGGTCTTTAACTCGTTCCCCTGAATTCTGGATTGACTCAATATCACACCAGAATCTCTCTATTATCCCCCTTAATTATTCTAAATGAAGTTATATCCCTTTTAATCCCTCCAAATCCAAAAATAAACACGGGGACTCAAACGTCCCCATTTGGGTGGGGACTCAACCGGCGGGACTCAATCGGCCGGGACTCAAACGGCCAGGGACTCAACCGGCGGGACTCAATCGGCGGGACTCAATGATCCTGTTCCGGAAGGGGAGGGCTAAAGGGAGGAGGGCTCCGAGAATGAAACTAACAAAGGAAAAATAGTTTGGCATTATTATATTTCCCATAAGTAGGGTTGGTAAAATGGCCCGATTCAATTCGAATCAAACATCGCATTGAGGCCAGAAAAAGTAAGGCAGAAAAAAATTGAAAAACCCCTAAAAATTGACTTGAATGTTGGCCTGTCTCGAAAAAGGCAACAAATATACACTGTTCATAATTCTAATCAAAAATCCTTAAATTTATTTATTTTGTTTTAAAAATAAAATCTGTAGAGTAATATATAAAAAATAAATTTGAGGGAAGTAAATAAAAAAAGTTACAGGAGGAACTTGAAAAATTATATAACCCGAAAATGATAGAAAAACTTAAAGTAAATAAAAGAGTATTACTGGCAAAAAAATAAAATTTTTAAGGAATTGAGGACAAGATTTGGATGAAAAATAAATTTTTGCTCTCGTTAAGACAACAAAAATTACATAATTATTATTTGACTAAAATAAATATACAAATTTAAGGATGAAAAAATGTTAGATTAAATAATGAAAATAATTTTTAAAATAATATTTTAAATAAAATAAAGCTTTTGATATATAAATTATCCTTCAAAATAAACTTGGAATGAAAGAAAAAGGAGGAAAGTGAAGGCTTGTAATATACACCCGTATTCTGTTTGTGCGCCAAATAAGTTTTTAAGTATAAACGCTAAAACATGTTTTGTAAAAAACCGTGTTTTGCAAAACATTTGTAAAACTTGTTTTGTAAGAAGATTTTGTAGAAACTTGGATAGAAACTCTTATTTTATAAACTTGTTTTACAAACCCTTCGCAGAACATGTTTTCCAAACTTGATTTCAAGAAACTTAGATTTGTAAAAACATGTTTTGTAAAAACTTGTAAACGAAACTTTATTTTTAAAACTTGTTTTCCAAACTTTTTTTTGCAAAAACTTGTTTTACAAAACTTACCTTCTAAAAACATTAATTTTGTAAAACTTGTTTTCCAAAACTTTTTTTTTTTGTAAAAAAAATTAGATTTGTAAAAACTTGTTTTACAACTTGTTTACAAACTTTTTACAAAACATGTTTTACAAAACTTGATTTGTAAAAACTTAAAAATTTGTTTGGAACACTAAACAAACATAATAAAATAAACATGTTTTTAGGTTTAATTTGTAATCACAGATATTCTTGTTAAGGTAAAACTTGAAACTTTCTTTAGCCAATTACCATCTTCAATAATTATTTTAATAGACGTAATATTTTTTAAAAAATTGTTTTCTTCAAAAATTAAATTAAATTGATCAATTAAATTATTTTTTTGGTTAATTGAAGAATTAAAAATATTTTTAGAATTGTTTTTAGAATGGTTAATTTGGACATTAATTAATGATTTTGGTAATAAATTCCAGACAGAAGATAATGGTTCAGTAAATTGAATTGAAAAGAAGATTTTAATTTCTAAAAAAACTTTTTAAATTAAATTTTAATTAAAAATAGGTTAATTAATTTTAAGAGAGATTAGGGTTATTTTTGAAGCAGATTTGAAGCTTACTGCATAGGACCGGTAGGATCTTACCCCGATAATTTGTTAAAATAAAAACGTTCTTGGAAATAAATAAATTTAGAATTAATTAAGCATAAAATCCTAAAAAACTAAAATTTAAAATGATATGACAAAAAAGTTGCAGTCAAAAAATAACATTTTTAGCATATTTATGAAGGCTTTTAGAGCACAACTTTTTCTTAAAATAACCTAAAATTTTCAATTAAACTTTAATTTGTAGCAAATTTAATTCTGTATCGAATGATACCAAAAACTTGAAAAAAGGTTAATTTAATCAAAAGTTATAAAAATTAAAATGGACCGATGTTTTCTACCCTTAATTGTTTTTTCCCAACTTTAAAATTTTTTTAATATTATAATTATGTAATTTAAAAAATTATTGACCTTTCAATAAAGCTATAGGTTTTGAAAAATAATTAAATTCGAATAAATTTGTTTGATCAATTTCAGTTAAATTTATATTTAAAGGAGTAAAATTTAAATAAAAATCTTTCAATTTTTTAAATAAATTTTTTGGATAAAATTTTGTAGCTTTGTAATTTTGACTTTTAATTAAGGGAAATTGAATTTGAGGTTTAAAATCCTTTTCTGTTAATTTTTGAATTTTGCCAGTAAGCGATGATTGTATTCCTATATGTTGAAATAATGGTGGTTTATGAGAGAAAAGTACAATATTGTTCAATCTCTGGAAATAAAAAAAGAAAAGTTTAAATAAAAAGTTTTTTCAAGATTGTAAAACAGCTTAAAACATTTGTGTAAAGTTTTTTTAGTAAAATATCTCTTAAAGCCTTTTTATGGTTTGTAAACTTGTTTTTTAAACCATATGTAAAAAAGGATTGTAAAATTTATTTTAAAACATTTTGTTAAAACTTGTTTGTAAAAATTTATCACTAGTTTGTAAAACTTAATCTGTAAAACATATAAACTTTTTTGTCTAGATTGTAAAACATTTAAAACTATGCTAAAAACTTGTTTTTGTAAAACATCTCTTAAAAACTTTTTCCTATTTGTAAAACCTGTTTTTAAACTATATTTGTAAAAAAGGTTTGTAAAACATGTTTTTTAAACATTTTTGTAAATTTTGTTAAAACTTGTTTGTAAAACATTTAAAACATCTAAAAACATGTTTTACTAAAACATGTTTTAAAAAACTATTTTCTAGTTTGTAAAACATGTTTTTAAAACTTTTCTAAAAACAAGGTTTGTAAAACGTGTTTTTACACTTTCAAAACATTTTTCCCTAGTTTGTAAAATTTATCTTAACATATTTAAAACTTGTTTGAAAACTTGTTCGGACAAAACATGTTTTCTAGTTTGTGAAATAATTTAATAATATTGTTTTCAACAATTACCTTTCTATAACAATTTGGCCATCCCTCATCTATCGGACAAAATTTTGAGCTAATTACATTTTGTAAAATCCAATCAACAGGTAATGAAGTATGCAATAATAAAATAAAATGAGCCATTTGTAACAAATCATAATTATTATGAAACATTCTACCAATAAATCCCAAACTTGAAAATTCAATCATAAAAAATTTTTCTGAATTATTATTTGCAAAACGTAACATTTCGCTGACAAAACCTTAAAAACAAATTTTTTAAAATCTAATTGTAAGGACAGTTTTTGATTTAATTATAGAACCTATGGTTATTCTGAAACTATCCGGAAACTACATAGATAAAGGGCATATTTAACTATCCCTCTCAATTAGAGAGTGTGCATCTACTAAAATCATTTGTTCGTTAAATAAAAAAAATTTTTTAGATTGTAAAACATGTAAAACTTTTTAATTAAAGTTGTTTTTTAAATAAAACAAGTTTGTTTAATTTAAAACATGCTTAATTTTAATCATGTTTACAAAACATTAAAACATGTTTTGTAAAACATTTTACAATTAACCTTCTAGATTGTAAAACTTATTTATAAAACATGTTTGTAATAAAACATGTTGTAAAACTTGTTTGTTTATAAAACATGTTTAATAAAACATTGTTTTCTTTAAATAAAACAAGTTTGTAAAACACATTTTAAAGCTTGTCTAAACAACTTCTTATAAAACAGAAACATTTTTTACAAAACATTTACCAGGCACAGTAACAATATCGTCTTCTAACTGAACATAATATTTAGAACTTGGTTTGGAATTATAAACATGCAACATTGCATAAGCATAATCCAAGTTTTGCTTTGTTCTCCATACCATTCTTGCAGGAGGATCGCCTAATGTTGTTTTTATTTTTTCCAAGTTAGGAGGAAAACTATAAAAAGTTGTGTTTGTTAAATTATTTGTTTGATAAACATTTTCTTAAGATTGTAAAACTTATTTAGAGAAACATGTTTTTGCAAAACTTTTTTAAAAACTTTTTTAAGGTTGTAAAAACATGTTTTTAAAACTTTTTGTAAAACAAGTTTGTAAAACATGTTTTATTAAAACTTTACTCTAGGTTGCAAACATTTAGTTAAACTTTTCTTAAAACAAGTTTATAAGTTTGTGATTTTTCTAGTTTGCAAAAACTAAAACTTTTGTTCATAACATGTTTGTTTGTAAAACATTTTTTACAACTTTTTTACAACTTGTTTTACAAATTTAAGCTAAAACTTGTTTTATTAAAATTTTCTACAAAACATGTTTTTAAAACATGTTAAACATGTTTGTAAAAACATCCAAGTTTGCAAAAACCTTATGCAAAACTTTTTATCAAACATATAACCTAAAACTTGTTCTAAACAAGTTTGTAAAACTTGTTTTATAAAAACATTTTTTCAAGTTTGCGAAACATAATTATTAAATATTTAATAACAAAATAAACATTTTAAAAATTCACCAACAATTCAATAGGGGGTGAAATAACTTCCAAAATTCCCTGGTTAATTTCATTTTTAAATTTTTGATAAATTAATTTTGTAACATTTTCCTTCTTTTCTTCCATTTTTAAATCCCACGGATTTTCAGATATTAAAATAATTATTTGAATTATATGTAATTCTTCTTCTGCTATATTTTCTAATAAATTATGGAGTGTTTGGAACAAATAATTTTCCTTAAAAAATTAAAAAAAATATTTTTTTTAATTTAAAAAAATTTACCCCTTCCCTAAAAGTACTTGGAATCATTAAAATAATTTCTGGTGGAGACCGTAATATTTTTGAAGAATTTAGCAATATTTGAGAATTTAGAGTTGTTAAATTTGTATTTTCTTTTAAATGAGGCAATAAATCTATTAATGTTGATTTGTCTATTTGAGATTGTGATCTTGTAAGTTTTGTAAATGTTGATAAAGGAGGTTGAGGTAATTCGTTGCCATCTGACTGGAAAAATTAAAATAAAAATACAGAAAAATACAAAAAACACAAAAATACAAAAAAGTTAGGTCACAAAAAACAAACAACGTAAACTTATGGGGCGTCGGCGAGGCGTTTGTGCAAAGTCAACGGTCGCTGGGTTCTGGGCCAGTAACATAAACCTATTCCTATCTCCCTTACTCTGGACATACCTGGGGGCCTCCGAAGCAGCAAAATACTCCCCGGAGACCGTAGGCGACTTTGTCCAATGAAGTCAGATTTCGGTGATTTTGGTGTCATTCGACTCAGCTCGAGGAGCTCTTCGAGGAGGAGCTCTTCCCCCCTTTGGTTTATTGATTTTCAATCGACCATATCTCGGGACCTTGGTACCGGACAAACTTCTCCCACACCTAGTTCGACGCAGCTCGGCGAGCTGCATCGAATGACACCTCATACGTCCATATCCGTCCACGCATTAAAAACCAGCTATAAATGATGAGTACCAAAAACACATAAATACACGAAAAACACAAAAAACAACAAAAATACAAAAAACACAAAAAACACAAAACTCTACCTCTTCTGCTTCTAATCTCTCAGTTGATAATTTCCACATTTCTTTAAATTTAAAAATTTCAGAAGATTCTGATTTTGTATTTTCTTCAAAACTTTCCTCTATTCTTTTCTGATAATTTGTAGACAAATAAATAAACTTTTCTAAATTTAATTTAAATTAATTATTTAATTAAATTTCCTTAACAAAACCTTTTTCTTCACTAATATAGTGTTTACTTGCAACAACAAAAAGTGTGACAATAAAGACAATTAAAGTAAAAATAAATATATTATTTAATAATTTCTTTTTGTTTAATTTTAATATTGTTGGAATCCTTCGCATTTTTTTCTTTTGATTAATTTTAAGCTTAATTAAAAATTAATGAGAAAAATAAATATTACTGGTACGGTAACTGGAGAGAATGATGAAAATTTTTAAAAAATTCAAAAATAACAGAACGCCAAAATTGCCAAAAATTAGGAGAATCTGAAAAAGATTGGGAGGAACGGGGAGGGGCCGAATTGTGGATTTTTTGGGTAAATTAGAGTGTTTGGCAGGTGGGATGATTCGAGAGTGGGACGAATCGTGGGAGGCTGATAAGAATTCGGTAGAAAACGCAGTACCCGAACAATGCGTCAATGGACTATTGGGTAGTGTACAAGAGCCATAAATGAAGTATATTGGGGGATTATGGTATATAAAGGGTAATTTGGTGGGATTAAGAGGGGTATTGGGTGATTTGTGGGACCGATAAATTGGGGGATTTGTGGGACCGAAAAATAGGAAAGAAAATTTCCAGAGTCTTTGAACCTTTCAATTAAGAATAGAATTTATTATAAATTGGAATTTTATGGAAGGCGTTTTTTTAATTTTTCGAAAAATTGAAATAAATTCTAAAAGATTATCATAAATTAAAATTTTTTATTAAATTAAAAAAAATGATTAAATTTTTTTATTTAAAATTTATTTTTAGAAAAAGGGGGATTTAAATGAAAATAAAAAATGAAGAGAAAAAAAAGGTTTTACAATTTAATTATGGAAGAGATTTATTTTTGGTGAGCCTCCAAATTGAAAAAAATAATTTTTTTAATTTGATAGAGAAATGATATTTAGAACATCTAATCAAACAAATAAAACAAAATTGTATAGGTAAGCATCTATTGGATACATTTTGGTTGATTTTGTGTTTTTCCAATTTTTATTTTCAATTTGAAATTCGAAAAAGAAAAAGTATTGACAGAGAAATGCCACAATTCTAATAGAAGCCCTAGGCTTCCATTTTTCAATGGGTCTCGTTGAGTGTGCTTCAAATAGTCATACCCTATTAAAGCATTTTATGGTATATTTTTATATGACAAAATTTGTTGATACCAAGTTTTTTGACACCCCTCCCTCTCAAATTTAATGATCAGATTCCCTCCTTCTTCAATTCCATCCTCAAATTAAAAACATTGATAAAGAAATGAATTTTTTTCTTAAGAAGGAAGTTTGACCATTATGTACATATTGAGGAAAAAAGAGGAGAGGGGAAGAAACTAGGTATTTCCAAAATTTTTATAGAAAATTCTTCTCGTAACTACCTACTAACGGGGATGGACTTTGCCACATTTTAAAAGACGCAAAACGGAAGAAAATTGGATTAAAATTTTAAAAAGTGGCAGGAGCAAGGGGAGAAATTGTACATATTTTTCAATAGTCCTTTGTTTAATAAAGAATTATTATATAAAAAATAAAAATAAATTATATAAAAAATAAATAAAAATATTTATTAAAAAATATACAAGATATACATAAACAAACATTGATTATAAAAAATATATAATTCCATTTATGTAAAATAATAAAAATTTGTAGTATGTAAAGGAGGGTGATTGGGACTTATTGGAAAAATAAATACTAAAATATTATTTACATATTTTAAATAATAAAAAAATACAAAAATATGTACAAAAAATGAGAGAGAAAAAAATTATTTTTAAATTTTTTATGGGAAAATTTAACAAATAAAATTTTAATTTTACATGGTTTTATTGTTAAATGTTATATAACAATGGGAAAAAAGAATGTTGAAAATAATGATTTTTAATCCCTGTCAATTAAATTTTTTTATGTTTCGATTTTAATCTATTTGGAATTTAGGGACATGTAGTAGAGTTCCATCATATTTCTGATGTGATGGAGTTTCCTCCAAGCGTCCCAAACAATCGAATCTTATCTTTTACCGTATTTTCTCGATTAATTCGACTGGGGAATTATTGTTTCAGCCTATCTCTAGCAAGGGGAATTAATCGAGAAAATAGGTATACTAGGATAGCCATACTAGAGCTGTCCGAGACCAAAAATTTTTCAAGACTCAAGACCCTAAACCAAGACTGGACCCCATGATCAAGACCAGACCGAAAAAACCCAGGAAAAGTCTTGAGTCAAGACCCAAGACCAAAAGTTTGGACAGCTCTAAGCCGTACAACGATAATTTTTTGGCAAAAACCTCGACACCAACCTCGAAACATCCGACTCCGGGGGCTCGGAGGAGCACCTTACCTTATACTATACTCGGGGCAGAAAAAACGTATATAAAATTGGAGAAACAAAAAAAATTTCCTGTAAAGAATTTGAAAAAATTTTGGGTTGCATTTAAACAATAAATATTCTTGGTGCAATTTTCCCCAATTTTAATAAACACTGGCCACCCACCCCCTATATTTTCCCTCAATTTCCCTTTTTTTATACATTCAAATCTTTTCTAAAAATATTCCAATAATTTTTTTTTCACGCTCCTATTTCAATAAAAAATATATTTTTATTTATTTATTGTTTAAATTCCAGCTGGCCAAAGCTAGTCTCAATTACAAAAAAAATAATGGGCAACATAATAGGTACAAATATTTATTTATTTGTATACTCATAAATAATAGAAAGGAAAAAAATAAAGTGGATACCGGAACTTAACAAAAAATCCCTTTAAAGGGGAAAAAAATATGTACAAGAAAAACAGGAAGGGACCGGAAGCAAATGAAAAAAAATCCGAGAAAATCAAGTTATGGTCGAACTCTGAATTGGTGACACTGAAACGTCCACTGTTTCAGTTAATTTTCAAAATGGTAAAAATCATTAAATAAAATATGTAAAAATGTCAACTTGACAAAATGCCAGCAAACTTTTTGCTACTGGTTTTTGCTTATTGCTAGGCTTGTTCCCCGTCCCGTCCCCGAAAATCGGGGAATTTGAGACATTTTTTTTTAAATTTTCCGCTCCACCGTCGCGCTGCCTCTCCGAAAATTTTCCATGTGCCCCCCCCCCAAAAAATCAAAAAAAATCCGTGATTTCGGGATCCTGGAAAATCCCGTCGGGATCCCGTCCCGCGCCGGTCTCTAGTTTCGACCCCTGGTTTTCAGTTCCGCTTCTGTTGATCGTTGGTGTCAAACCAGAATATAATTATATAATTTTTTAAGTAGTTAACCCAACGTTTTGCGCACAAAGGGATGCCGCCATCCTTTTGGATGGGTGGTTAACCGCAATTAATTATGATTTATGTTCGCGCACTAGCCTAAACCTATTGACAGCTTTGGTGGGGGAGGGGTCCGCGCGAGCTATCCTTATCCTATTGAGTGAGTGGGTGGTAGGAGGGGGTAGGATTTTCAAATTAGTGGTGGGGGAGGGGGTAAGAGGAAGGGGATTTTTTAAGTAGTAATTTGTTGACCCTTCCCATTTAACCGCAATCTTTTGACAGTTTTGGTGGGTGGTGGGGAGGGGATTCCTTAAGTAGCAACTCCCCTCCTTTTTTCCCATTTAACCGCAATATTTTGACAGTTTTGGTGGGTGGTGGGGAGGGGATTTTTAAGGAGTAATTTGTTGACCCTTCCCATTTAACCGCAATCTTTTGAAAGTTTTGGTGTGTGGTGGGGAGGGGATTTTTTAAGTTGTTGACCCTTACCCTAACCGCAATCTTTTAACAGTTTTGGTGTGTAGTGGGGTCCGTGCGAGCAATTAACAACCTATTGAGCTGGTAGGGATAGGTAAGGGAGGATTTTTCAGATTAGCAATTAGTTCTCGGGGGAGGGGTAGGAGAAAGGGGGGGGGGGTTTAAGGAGTATTTAATAAGTTTTTGCCCTCCCCTCCTTTTTTCGATAATTGATACAAATTTATTCAAGATTGATAGTTTTAAAATAGGGGAGACTCAAACTGATACCCTTGTACAAATTAAAAATTTCTCGATGTTTTCTCCTCCCAACTACTATATTGAGTTGTTTTTTCTTTTTATTCCCAAAAATATTTTTATTTTTCAAGGTCATTGACAATACTAATAGTAAAGGAAAACCCCACTCCTCACCCCACTCCCCACACTGTCCACTCATCACCCTGTCTGACCGCTTGTGTTTCTTAACCTTGTCTCTCTCTCTCTTTTAATTTTGCAACAAAACCAGACACACTGTTGCATTGATTGTTTTTTACACTCCACACAACCCAACCCAAACCCTTCTTTATTTTAACCAAATCTAAGCAACTATATATTTCTTATTAAAAATTTTTTTTCCAATTTCTGATGTTGTGTGGAAATTTTGGGTATGGAAAATTTTTTTGGGGTATGGAAATCTTAAAGATTAATAAATTAAAATTTTTTAATTTTAATTTATTATGTGGATGCCTACACAGAATTAGAAGACCCTACAGAAGACCTGCTTTCTGTGAATTCAAATGCTCGTTACTGTGAAACGGTTGCACCAAATGTTCGAATAAGGTAGTATTCTATTGGGTCTGATTAAAAAATTTTTTTTTGAATTTTTTAGCTTGCACCAAGTTCTTGTTCTTGTACTTCATTCTCGCTCTATCTGCTACAGCCCCAACATTTTTTGGCAAAAATGTGTGCTTATCTAGGTACAACTGATTTGACTTTTGGCTTTTTTTATCTTTCTATTATTTTTAAGCGAATCGTTCTCTAATTAATGTTATTTTGGGAGGAGTTGGAACAATATCACAAATCGGCTCCTTTTCAACAAATTACTGGAACTTTTCAATTTACTAATGGGTAATAAACCTTTTAAAATATTTTAAATATTTTTATTATTTAGTCAGCAGAAATTGCCGTGTTATGGATTTTGTGTTCGATGGGTGACATATAAAGATAAGTTTAAAATATCAGGGGGATCCAAAATGGGGACCAAACTGGAAACCTGGGAGTGATTCTATCGGATACTGGGGACCAGATCGGATACTCGGGACCGTTCTATCGGATACTGGGGACCATACTGGATACCATGGACCAAACTGGATACCAGGGACCGATCTATCGGATACCGGGGACCAGATTGGATACTTGGGACCAATTCTTCGGATACTGAGGACCATACTGGATACCAGGGAAAAAACTGAATACCAGGGACCAGATCGGATACTCGGGACCGATCTATCGGATACTGGGGACCATACTGGATACCATGGACCAAACTGGATACCAGGGACCGATCTATCGGATACCGGGGACCAGATTGGATACTTGGGACCAATTCTTCGGATACTGGGGACCAAACTGGATACTCGGGACTGATCTATCGGATACTGGGGACCA